AGTAGGACCATACTTCAGAATTCCTCTGTTTACAACAACTGCCAGTATAGGGATCCTGCCAAAGGCAGCCCTTGTGAGCTTCCTATGGAGAAGCATAAAGGGATCAACATAATCAGATCCTTTATTTCTCAGGTTTTCCACAGTAAAATGCAGAATAATAACACCTGAGTCATAACAACTCCATATTGTGAAGATAAATTAGCTATTGCCATGTATTCAGTCACTGTGGTAACATGGATTCTAGAAAGAAAAAGCTATATATAGCCACATAACCAATACAGGTAAATACGTCTATAAATAAAACCTCTAAGTACTGCTGCAATACAAATAATAAATAAAAACCAAAAAGACTTAGTCATACATCCAGGCGGATTTCCAGTTACAGAGGATGTACTTTCACAAAGAGCATGGTGAAGCACATGAAGTAGGATGGTGAAGAGAAAGATAATAAATCATTCTACAAATAAATTATTCTGAAAAATGGTCATGGTAGGCAGGAGTATGATCATAAAGTTCCAGAATGCATTTTCTTCAAGTAAATTGAATATACAGATAGCTAACACATATACAAGCGTCCTCCTACATGTATAAAAGCCACTTTTCCCTGAAAAAAAATAAATGGGTACCCACGTTGCCTGCTCAATCTAAACAGGGACACAAGTTGTTCAATGAGCTGTGGAGTTAATGAAGCATTTGTGGAGAACAGTTTACTATCTCGCCAAGAATTTATAGCACTATAAATCCTCATACTGTATTTTGCTTTGAAAGAACCCCCTGTATAGACAGGAGCCACGACACAAGAGCATTTGTGCATGGGGAAGCTGCCAAATTTTTCTGCAGCTGACCCAGGGAATACTCGTGTGGGAAGGGAAGTGCAGAGAGGAGCAGGAGGTAGGTTTGGTGCTGTTTGTGGAGTCGTGATGGACAGGGAGTCAGTGCCTTTTCTACAATTTGCACAGAGATCCCAGCCCTTTCCAGACACTCTGGAACCATGTGTGTCCTGGTGCTCCATGGCCCAGTGCTGATCTGCCCTTCCAGAACTTTTATCTTTCATTAAAGTTCTTGAAAGGCAGCCAAGGGGTCTGACAGCTGTGTTCCCCCTCTCTGCTGCTGCTCCCAATASTGCCTGATCCAACTGTGTTCCCAAGAGCCAAAAGCTTTTCTGATTTCCCCAAACCAGGCTCTGGGATGCCTGCTGGCCAACAGTTTTGCTAGTTAGAAGAGGAGGCAACAGAGGGGCATTTTCTTTACAAGGTACATTGTTCCAGCACAGCAGATGGGACTTTGTCCTTCAGCAAAGAAACCTCAAATCCTGCTTTCAGTCAGAAAATGGGAGCAAGGATAGAAAAGGGCAAATATCACATAAATATCATTACAATAAAAAAAAAATTGACAGGCTCATATCAAAATCACTTTATACCAAAGAATTTTGTAGGYACAGGCATGTGGAACTGTGACTACCAGCTCTAGGGCATCATCTCTACACTACATCACTATTAATTCTCTGAAGACAAAGCACTTCTACCATGAAACAGCATATGCCAGCAAAATTCAGCTTATGCCAGCAAAATTCTGCTTTTGCCAACTTAACTTKCTCCAGATCATCCAAATGAAGCTCTAAAGTTCATTTCTGTCAGCAGGAGAAAGAGTCTGCTCATGATGCCCYTGCATGTACATTTGCATCAGTGTAGCTCTTTACATGTGGGACTGACACTAAAGGGCTGCCAAGGAATAGTGTAGACCCAGCACTCATTTCCACAGCTCACCATGTCCAATTCTTACACATTTCAATCCTTTCTAATCTCACAATGCTTCGTGCTTCTAATAAACCATATGATRTATCTCTAAACAATCCTTTAGCATTTATTTACTTAGATACTTTTTGCAATGCAGATATGGCTTCCATTAAGTCAACATCATTTCAAAATCACTTTAAAAATCTGCTGGGTAAACAACAACCTAAAATGAAATTGCTGATTTGCTGCCCAAATGAAAATGTTGTAACAAACTTACATTTAATCCTATCTATAGTTGAAGATTCTGTATTTAGATTATAGTGCTTSATGCCCTATTTTTTTCTGCTGAGTTTCATTTAGCATTTCATTCTTCCTGCTAGATACCACATGAGATGATCRTATAAACATCCTGATCCCCTAAATACTTTCAAGCAGAAACTCACTCAGAATGCTGTTCAAAAACTTTTAACATTACATTTCATGCCCYTGCCCTYTCCCYCACTTGGCAGATGCAGAAAAGGRGGCCACAYTGCACCARTAATCTCATTAAAACCATCAGCTTCCCACCTYAGCCCAGTTTGCAGAGAGCTATTATTCTCCATCTTAAAAACTTCATACATTTCTGTACAAAGAAAAACCCAAACTACTTTACTGAGCTGTAATAACACCACAAAAAAAACCCAAAAGGAAGACACAGTAAATGCTTATTAATAAACGTCAGCAATGAAATTTCCCTGACACTACAGTGCTTTTAGCTAAAGTGTTACTATTATTGATTAATGCTTAACACTCTGGGAGCAATCAAGAATACTGAGCATGAAGCAAGAACAGTTTGTTTTTTTTAATTTTCCCATTGAGCCAGAAAAAGAAACTTTGCAAAACAAATTTAATTTGGGTAGAGGTGTCATAATGTGCAATCCAGCACTAAGTTTGATGACAATTTAGGACCAATGGTCAGCTTGCATTTTTTACTTTTATAATTCAATATTGTTAATTGTTTCTATCCATGCTTGCTGACTATCCTCAAAAAGATAAAACCACTTCAGTCCTCTGGTTTAGAAACTTGTTGTTGCTCAGCTTCTTCCTCCATAAATTACAAACATRATCAGAGACACTAAATCACAAAACTTAGAGTTGTTGCTAACTTACARTGCAAAGATATCTCTAAATAAAAACACTAGGCCTCTTCCTCTAACAAAACCAAGGCAAATACCAAATGCTGGTCAATATTTCTACGCTATTCCAATAAAAGAAATTCTCCTCTTGAAATGAAGCTGCTCTTTGCAAGGAAAGGTTGCAATGCCAGGACAAATACTGTTTCAGTTTTAAGAGTATAGAAAATAGAAACCTGCAGGAGCATCAGTGCTTGGCTCCAACAGGCTGCAATACACCATTAAACACAGCATATTTGGGGATGTGGAAGGTGACAGTGGGACCCATTTGTCCTTTTGAAAGGATAAATGGGAAGGAGCATGGATTATCCAACACCACAGCCTGTTAGCAAGTTTTCCTCCAACAACACTTGAAGAAGGGAAGTTTGCAGCCAACTGTTCTAACTGACATTGCTCTCTAGCACCTGAGACTGGTGCTTCACTATTCAGTCCATACATATTAAATTATATTTCAAGCTTCTTCCCCCACTGCTTTGATTTTTTTTCTTCCTATGCCTCCTGACAGTGACAGTAAAAGACAGTCGTTCACAAAATGACAGACTGTTGAAATATTGAGATTTTGTCTTCATATGATTATAATTTATACTGTTACTTTCCAGGATTCTAAGAAATATCTACTGGGATACCATCAAGTATCTTTTCAATAAAGCACAAACAACACCTTCTAAAAGGGAAATTACCCCGCATGAATACAAAATGGCTATTTAAAATCCCCAGAATTCCCCAGACAGATACTCTAGTGTAACAGCTAAAGACAACACTGTTTCTCCGGAAAAAGTGACAGGACCATTTTGTTTCCAAAGTCCTTGTCTGTGCTTTCCATTTCTTCATTTGTACCACCATGAAGTAGGTGATGGTCATGCTCCATATGTTTAGGAAGGAGCTTCATGGTTATCAAAAAGCCTCATGCATTCTAACATAACCTTGACTTATGAAAATCTTCAGGTAGAACTTGCCTGTTGCCTTTATCCACACCGTGCTCTCCTTTCCTGATTATTAGAGATTCGTATCCTGAACCTGTGAAGGGGAGTCAGACTACAAAAAAGTCTCAGAATAACACAGCCCCTACATRCAGAAAGCAGCAAAGAAATCCACATTTTCCATGCGAGCAACAATATTTTTCACTCTCTTCTACAAAGGTTTGGAAAGGCTTTGTCACTTCCTTCACATTTTAACTTCATCAGCATCATCYTCCTCTCCTGACACACAGCGTGACCGGAGTCAAATCTTCTGTTAAYGGACTGCATAAAACACGGTGTGCAGCAAATAAACAACACCCCTTCYCCTTCTGACCTCCTTTCACTAAGTCAATCAATTTAATAATTTAATCACCGTGAACATAACCATTAAACATGTGTATACACCTGGACCTRGAGGCAACAGCGTGCTGTGCCAAGTGCCGAACTGCGGGCACTTGAAACGCCAGCACAGCATTTCCACCCCTCAGGCATTTCTCTGCGTAAACTCCGTGGTGTTTAACAACTGCCTCTGAATCGGACACGTAGCGACAGAAGGTGGGGCAACCGGGGCGAGCCACACGAGGTGCCCCAGTGCCCTGCGCTCAGCACCCGAAGGAGAAGCCCTGCACTCGCCGGGCGGCGGGGCGAGCACCGCACCCGAGCGCTGTGGGACGGAATGGAGGAACGAGCACTGCAATGGAGGAACGAGCACTGCAATGGAGGAACGAGCACTGGAATGGAGGAACGAGTCTCTCTTCGCCCCGCCAGCAGCTCTCCCGGCCCGGAGCCCTCTCCCAGCCCAGCCCAAAGACCTCCCCTCACGTCCCCCCGGCGCGGCAGAGCCCTCAGCGCCGCCCC